TCCTATAATTGCACACCCTTTTTCAAGTTCTATTCATCCTATGAATTATTCTATGTGACATTCATTGTTCTCCCACTTGACATTCAACTATGATTATGGTTATAATCACACACATTTCAGGTTTAATTGCATTTCATACTACTACTACTACTACTATTATTATTATTTTATGCATTCACACCTGAGATTCAATTCCCTCATCGGATATAACTTCTTAAAAACTATATATATACATATACGGTTGTACAGCTTGATGATGAATTCGTTGAAAAGAGTCTCTTCGCTGAATCACTTGTTTTGATTTCCTAACCTACGTTTAGTCCATTGCTGTATACACTCTGTGTGTGTGTGTGTGTGTGTGACAATGACACATATGTTGACTTCTGCGTACTTAAAGTTCACCACAATTAAGTAATGACATTCACTGTCTCGAGCCGACCCGATGTATTTACAACAACGACGCCGTAAACTACACATCATCACAATCAGTCATTGACTTGACTTGCACAATATGTTGGTTGGTTGGTTAGATAGCTATGAGGAAGACATGGACGTCGGTGCAGAGATAGCCAACCAGAGTAGTTGGATTACTTCACGTGTGATGTTCGCTGTTGCATACAATGAGTTTTCATTCATCAGGTTCGTATTTCTCCGTCTGGATGTTGTTCAATTGATGTATCCATTATGTAAATAGACGTTTCGTATATTCAATACTCCTGGGAATATCACTGACGTATCCTTTAGAAATTCGACCACTGGGGTGAAAATATAGAACAAGATGATGACGCATACAGTCAGTCATCTAATATGACCAATTATGCTTCGCTTCACATTGTACACTTGACTTTTTGTATTCAGCTGAAATATTCTAACCGACCTGTGCGTGTTATTAATAATACTTTTGCTTTGAAGAACCATATCTTTTCGAGGATGTCATCATCCTGGCTCTACTTTCGTGTATTTATTATACATGTGCGGGAAAGTTCGAGAATGATTTCCCGTCATTGGTCAAATGAATAAAATTACAATTAGAAATTATAATGCCTTAATTATGTATGGGACGGATAGTGTTCTTTCCCTCACTTCCCCAGTAGAACATAGGACTTCAAGCTAGTGGCTTGAAGTTTCTGAAGCAGTGGTGTTTAATTTTACAGGATGGGGTTTCTAGACTCACGCCCAACCTTTCCTCTTTACCAGCATTATTTCTAGCCTAGTGAGGTGAAGAAGATATCAGGTGTGCGTCGGCAGAGGATCGAACCTCGGACCATGTGCATGGTCGGCGAGAGTCCTAACCACTGTGCTACCGACGCACGGATAAACCTCAAACCAATTAGCCTCACAATTACTAAGGAAATTGAAATTGTGCAATTGGGGTAAGAAATGTACAAATAACAAAATAGACAGGATGCTTGTATCGAAGAAACTAATTTGGTGTATAATTCTTTATTCTATTGGGATTAAATATGTAGAAATAGTAAAATGTTAAAATAAACACGAAGTTGGGTTATGAAAATATGATACTGTAAACAGGGATTAAGAAAAACTTGGAAAAATAACATGAATAAACAGGAAGTTCAGATAAGAAAGCCTATGGGATGGTCATTACTAAAATGTTACCTGTTTATGATGACCATGGCAGGGACAGGGTTTGGACGTATTTCTTTTGGATACAAAGCGTGGGTTTGAGCTTTTGGATAGCTAGCGCCTCGGCTGTGCCCAGGTGTCTTGATTTCACTCCCTTTGATAGGTTTGATTGAATCTTATATATTACTTTGAAGGATTTTTCGAAAGGCGCTGAATTCCCCGAATTGACCAGATGTTCTGTCACTGAACTGTACACACGCTTTTGGCCTCCTTTAACTGACCAGGCTGGGTAGTGTTCACGAGCGCGTTTTTCAAGTCGGCGCATGGCACGGCCAATGTACTCAGCTCCACCAAAGCAAGTAAACTGGTATAAGCACGTTGAGGTGGCCTAATGCGACAGCTTGTCTTTCGCGTTCTGGCTGAACAGTTTATTGCAGGAAAACGTCAGTCGTAGGCTAGCGGCGAAGTATGTTTTCCTCAGCGATTTGGAGAGGCGTTTATGAAGGATTTCTGCCTCAATATCACCTCTGAATTCTATATTAAGCAGAAGCACTTTCTTTGGAACGGATTGGACTTGTTCGGAAGTCTTCCTAGATTTGAGATTCTTGTCTATTAACCTGGGTGGGAAACCGTTTTCCATCACGGTTTTTCGAAGATTACGCAATTCTTCCTCAGCCACTTCCGAATCCTCGAGGAAAGGGCGTATATCAGGTCCCTCTTTCTGCTCAGGGGCACGAAGCTTTGAAAGTTGATGAATTATCCATTCCATGTAGAGTTTTTGTATGTGGATCTTTTCAGAGAGTTGTTGGTGTTTCTTGTCAGATGGACGTCGAGGAAGTGGACACATTCCATCGGATTCAGTCTCAAGTGTAAAGTCGATGTTTGAATGGGCGTTATTGAAGATTTGAAGTAGGTATTTTAAGTGAAAATTCTCATCACAAAGAATGAAATTATCATCGATGTATCTCTTCTGGGGAGATGGAGGTCGTTGATAGTTTTTGATAAGGGGTTGTTTTCTAAGCTAGCCATAAAGCAGTTGGCTAGGAGGGGTCCTAGGGGGAGAAACCATTGCTACTCCATCTACTTGCCTGTATATTTCCTTGTTGAAACTAAAGTATACGTTGAAGGTGCATCGTAGTATGAGTTCTTTCAGGTAATGTATCGGTATACCGAGATCGATGATATTGGATTGAATGTAGTCACAAAAGAAACATACGGTTTCTGTAAATGGAACGTTGGTGAAGAGAGAGACGACATCCAAGGAGACCATGTTGTTTTCTGCCACACTGACATTCCTTATTAAATCAACAAAGTCAAATGTGTCACGGAGGTTGTGTCTTGACAGCTTCTCTTTCACCGGCTCGAGAATCTCCACCAGCCATTTCGCGATTGTATGATATGGGAAATCTATCATATCTAGTATTGGGCGGAGTGGGACGTCTTGTTTGTGCACTTCAGGTAAGCCGTACATGCGCGGCGTTGTAGAGCCAGATGGGCGCAGTTGTTCGTATAGTTTTGAACTGATAATGGATTAGTCTTTCATTTTCTTCACTATCTTTGTTAGCTGGAGCTCCGTCTGTTCGGTGGGATCTTTCTGTGGAGACTGTTTCTGAAACTTTTTATCATCAGATAGTATCACCGAGAGTTTGCTTAGGTAGTCTGATTTGTGCATCAAGACGATTCCGGAGCCTTTATCTGGTCGAGTGATGATCAAGTTTTCAGTATTATTCAGTTCTTTCGGCTGCTTTCGATGTTCTTTGGAAAGTACGTTACGAAGACTGGTTTTTCTGTTGATGTAATCAAGACAGCAATTTAAAACGGTTGGTTTGAAAAGGTTTGCATTCTCATATGAGATTGGGACCATATCTTTCGTCTGGTCGATTAAACTCTCGAATTGGACTTTCGTGTTCAGTTCATTCACTTTTGACGTTGCATTACAAAACCTAGGTCCAAGTGCTAAAATTTGCATTTGAATTGGAGATAGTGGAACATCAGAATAATTGTACACGTATTTTTCTGGACAGGTACGAGAGACAGTTTCTTTTGCAACGGAATTTAGTCTTTGGTTTAGTTTCATTATAACATCATCTGTTCTTTTCTTTGTTACCTTATTAGAGTAGTTTTCTAATGATGTTCTCTCGTCTCCAGATAACTCATAGAGAACGTGGGAGCTTTTTGAGATATTCTGCTTTACTTCAGATAGTCTTGATTGCGTTGCATCGATGGGATTCAGAGTGTGTCGTTTCCATGTACGTGAGTTAGGGGATATGTGATTTCGTCTGAGGTGCTTCCAAAATACTTTGGGATATTCATATTTTCGAGACAATTCTTCAAGAAGAAAATTATTGCGTTCGCCTCAGCAAACTTGAGGGACAAACGTAGAAACTTGTTCAGTCCATTTACCGTCGAACGGTCTTTGCATCTCTTCAAATCACGGAATATACACATTGGGTCATAGGATTTATTAAGAAGACACTTGCAGCGAAGAAAATTCTCTTTGTATTTTGTTATTTCTACATTTCTAACCCCTAATTGCATAATGTCAATCTTCTTAGTTATTATGATGCTAATTTGTTTGTTTCATCCGCCCCCCCTCTTTAATAGGGCATTCTAATTCCCAATTGTAATTTTCATAAATTTGACCGGATCAAACAGCTGATGGATCACCAGAGAATGACGCTGCGACTACCGGTGCCGGGATAGCCGTTCATAGTATCTACCGATGCTGGCGATTACGGAATAGGCGCAGTACTCAGACAGAGTGACGGAGTCGTCGAGTACACCAGCCGTGTTTTAACGCACAAGAAACAGAATTATTCAACAATTTAGAAGGAGTGTTTGGCAATTGTGTCGGTGCTAGACAAATGGAAACCCTACTTACTGGGTCAATGCTTCCGCGTCGAGACTGATCATAAGCCGTCGCAGTGGCTGAGGACCGCCAGAGACCCGCGTGGGAAGTTGTCATGGTGGATGCTGCGCCTGCAACAGTATGATTTCACGATCTCTCATGTTCCAGGAAAAGCGAATGTGTTACCAGATATTTTATCTACAATAGAAGAGGTAGAGTTACCTGAAATAGCATATGGTGTAAAAATGCCTAAGAGCAAAACCCAGCAAGACTTGTCCAGATTCAAAGATCAGACGACACCTTGAAAGCTGTCATACAAGAGCTAACTAACGAAAAAAGGTGAATCGGCTAGGCTTCAATGCCTGCAGAATGTTGACGTGGTGGGAGGATGAAGGAAGCTGCTTAGCAGTAATACCCCAATGCCTGCGCCAAGAGATGGATGATACAGGAATGTCACCAATTAGCTCTAACAGGTGTTGCTCGAAGGACGATCTCCTGCGACAAACCACGTACTGGTCAGGTATGAGAAAAGACGTCGAGAAGTACGTAACAGCGTGTACGCAATGTCAGCTGATGAAAGGTGATCAGTACATACGACCGTCACCGCAGTCGATTCCGTAGACCTAATGGTACCTTTTCGACTAACGTCCAATGGCAATCAATATCTTCTGGTCATGACATAACATGCCACACGATGGCTAGACGCAGTCGCGATCCCTGATCAACGCACAAAAACGGTCACAGAAGCAGTGGTTCTACATATCGTTGCAAATCACGGTGTGCCAAAAGCAATATTGACAGACCAAGGTCCTTGGTTTGAAGGCGAAGAGTTTGAAGGTCGGTTGCAACAGTTAGGTATCATGAAAATTAGAACAACGCCATATCACCCACAAACGAACGGGCTGACCGAGAGAAATAACCACACCCTGAAAGAGTGGCTGGCCACAAAGGCTGTTAACTGGGAGGAAACCACGGATACCGATACTTAACAAGACCTGGCCCCTCCATCAGCATTGGAGTATGACGAGATGGCGGACGGAGAGGAGAAAAGCCATCAACAACGTAAAACGAAAACAGAAAGTGGACACTGTGAAAACCGAACTGAGGCGAAAGGGGAAGTACCCCGGATTCGAGATCAGAGATCAAGTCAAATGTAGAGATAGGCGAAACACCGGCGGATACGCACCATGGTCGCGAACACTGCTACCGAAGCGGGAAGGACCATACACGGTCACTGAGAGACGGGTCAAGTATATACCACCGAAAATGCAAACACAGAGAAGCGGGTGAACATCAGCGAGCTCCAGAAATGGATAGAGCGAGACAAGCCAACGATGACGCCAGCACCAAGAAGATCAAGCCGACTTCAGTCCAAACTATTTGACGGGGGGACGAGTGTGGAGAGAGCAGGCTGCTAGCCAAATTGGCAGACAGTAATTTACGTCAAATTTTACGTCCCCAATATTGGTCGTGAGAAAATATGAACAAAGACTTATTCAACAACCAACCAAACCAGACTTTGCATAGGCGGATACAGTTAGCATATAGATGATGTGATATTCAAGAAACAGCCACTAAGAGATGAAAGATTAACTTTCAGTGAGAAACAACCAATTAGAAGACTGTATTTGTTTGCTTAAATAATCTATAATAATGTACGTGAAAATATATAAATACGTGTTGATTACCTTAATAAACGATCTGTTGCCTGGTCCTTGTCTTCTGGTGTTACACAACGACTAAAGACAATAAACATTTTTTGCATACAAAACTAACAATCAAAGATTTACTTTTTTCAAATAAATATTTCAAAGCTATGCCTGCTTCTTGAATATTATGTTATTGTACTAAACGACACGATAATATCTGACAATCAGGATCTGATGCAGCGACACCACAACAACCTCCTGCATCAGTTGATGATCGTACACCAGCATCACTTATCTGTTGTGTTTGTGATTGAATTGTCTCTGTTAGACTGTTCATTTCATTAACATACATATCGTATGGTTCATCATTTTGTTGACAACCTTCTATTTTGCTTTCAATAGCACGTAGTTGATCGCAAAGCATTTTACGTGAATCCATTAAATTAGTTAAGTGATATTCATTAGAATAAAGGCGTTTTGTATTTCACAAAACGATATTGTTTTTACTGACGTTTCGCTATTTAATGCTAATAGCTTTCTCAAAGTATTATTAAACCGGAATTTACAAAATCTCAGCATATATATATATACATATAATAATGAAGATCGCATTACTTGACAACTAAAAATGACCCCAGACTAACGAACGATGATCAAGTTAGTAAACCTTGTTTTGCTATTATAACAGATGTACTATTACCTTTGATATTTGGTTTAGTGATCTTCATTATTATTTCGACTTTCAATATGTCCTTTTAAGTTGACCTAACTTGTCTATTTTCTCACCCCTTAACTCTTTGTTATATATATATATATGCTGAGATTTTGTAAATTCCGGTTTAATAATACTTTGAGAAAGCTATTAGCATTAAATAGCGAAACGTCAGTGAAAACAATATCGTTTTGTTTTTCATTCATTGGGAAATACAAAAAAACCTTTATTATAATGAATATCATATACCCAATACCCGAATGTTTTCAAACCGTTAAAAGTGAACTTGGTTTGGACATATATAGTTAAGTGATATCTTACAGTTGCCATACTGACATGCATATCCAAATCCATTTTAACCCAGCTTCGAACACGTGTCACAAAATCGAATTTACTAAATATGACAACAGTAGAAAAAGTAAGAATATCAATAATAACTCGCATCTGAATAAATCATATCACATTGAAACAGTTAAGAATACAACTTATGTGGCTGAAAAAGCGAAAAGGTGGCCAGGCAATCAATGAGTGGCTGTACACACCTGTATGTGTGCATCTGTGTGTGTGTGTGTAGTCCACTCTATGCTTCTTTATGGCTGTGAGACACTGCCGCTTAAAGTGAGAGGTACGGTGAGAAGGCCAACTCCCTTTGACTGCAAATGTTAGCGTTCTACTTCCCATGTTAACTGGTTTAATATACTTTCCAGCGGAATTATATTCAATGGACAATAGGTTACATCTCATGTTTAGTAGTGCTGATGACGATAAAACCCGGTTATCAGACAGGAGGGAGAAACTACAAATGACTTAATAGGCCACCTCGCCTGGCTACTGCGTCAGTGACTCCATCGTAGACTCTTGGTCAGCGACACAGGCCACCCGGGATGAAGTCCCGACTGGTACACTTTAAGACCTCACTGAAGCCTGTCAACTGGTAGAAAGCCCAGAAGGGAGGGAATGTTGGGGATGAAACTCGCAGACCAACTCTGCAAAAACAACCTCGTCGATACTAAAATTTCATAGCTCTAAGCTTGAAGACCTGTGCAGCACTCGGAGTGCAAGGGATAAAAATATTGTAAACTGAGTCCTTAGATCATCTGTAGAGCCCATTCGATAGATTTCAAGAAGTTCCCAGGATCATCAGATAGTTATTTTGACATAGCTTGACACTTTTCGGCAGTGTGCAACAACTTCACCGAAGATAATCCAGTGAAAAATCATTTCAATAATAAGACTCCCACTTTATCAAAACAACTTTACTATTTTTGTTCATTTGATATGTGCTCTTTCTAGGTGATGAATAAAAAGCACATAATCACAACATACTACATACATACTACTACATACTACTGACTGATTGAAGTGACTAGCTGCATACCAACACTCACATCAACCAAAGGTAGTGTTTGCTAGCTAGATAGAAGTCGTCTGAACCCCAGGGCTCATCCCACTTTTTTGGGACCAAACTCATCGGCTGTGTGTCCAGTTTGATTCGGCCCGTAGAACCGCATAAGTTCCTCTAAAAACTGAAACTATTCCAGTCACAATATGTGTTCCGCTGGATACCATAAATGGCAGTCAAGAGAGCAAGCACAAAGGCATGGCGCTATACACTAACACTACAACAGCAATGCCACCTCAACAATCTTAGCATAAACAACATACAACAAAGATATTCAAGTGTTGGTTTTGCACAGATTTGGTTGGTTACAAGATTCCATCATGAGTTGACATAGGTTAGAAAACCATTGGGAAACCAACAGGGAGTGACGAACAGTTGTTTCCTACGTCATAATTTGGAACTGTTCATCAGTACGCACCTACCGCCAGGAGTTCGAACCCAGGGCCTTCTGGTTACAAGACGAGCTGGTAAACCATTCAGCTACTGGGATCCGATTTAATGGTCAAGTAATGAATTCCAACTTCTGCGAATTCGCAATATAGCGCGACCACTAGCCAGTGTCATCCGAAGTGAGTGTTTGTCCTCACACCTCAAACCTGTACCCAACTGGTTACGGCTTGTCATTACAACATAACGTAACATGTTAAGATGATATACCAAGTAATAGTTGAGCGAAGACTTGATAAGGGTATCAGAACTTATTGGGATCCAAAGCTTGTATTCCTTTACACACTACCAAAAACACGGGTGCTTCAACAATCCGGGAAAGGACCACAGCTCCAATCCTCGATACTTCCAACTATGCATGTATATCTATTTCCGAGTGTATTTTTTATAAGTAAGCATACAAATTGTACGGAAAGCCGATTGTCTGCTCATCACCACACAAGTGGCTGAAAAAAGTTAAAGTCAACACACTGAACACAAATCATGTAAATGAAATGAATACTTTTCTTCTCGATGAAGAACGTTGAATCATCGTCGTAAATATAAAATATCAACGGTAATTTTTCCGCCAAAACACTCTTATAAACAATCCATAGAAACAAAACAAAATCAAGTAGGGCTAAAAAGAAACTGATTCACCAGTAGCAAGTTACACAGACACACACACACACACACAGAGTTTGGGGAGGAGAACATTCACTACAGTTGCCTTTGAAAATAAAATGTACTCACATCACTCCATATTCAATGTGTTTGATATCACAAACCACTGAATGACACCAGCAATTGGAATTCACTCCTGATTAGTGTTTGCCAAAAGGCGACTAGGGTGGATTTTCACCTGACGACTCAGCTCTTCGAGTTAAGACAAGCCAAATACCCCTACTACTGATGAGGTCGGTCATAAGCGAGTGAAACGGATGTCCAGTGTTTAAAACACTTCATCCCTATGGCTATACCAAGCATTACTGGTTGACGTGAGCAATTTACAACTCCTGGTATAAAATCAATCATTTTATACAAATACCACCACCAGGTGATCTCTCGTCCATATGTACCGGTTAGAAATTTGTCAAAATGTGTGAAAAAAATCTTGTTAATTTTCAGGATACTGACACGCATTTCAGTTGTCTTTAATTCATTCAACAATGCTTCCTCCTTTGGTGAACTCTTTTCGAATGACTTCTTCTTGACTATCTCTGAATGTCTTCCCTACGATACAGAAGACAAATTGTAATGAACACAATTGAAGAGAATTATGTTCGCCTTTGTGGTGACCTTAGATACTTACAAAAATGGCAGAAATGTAGTAATAAACGACAAATTTAGTCATTTGGACATTTCCTTTGAAAATACTCCAACTGATAAACAATATGATAGTGGACATTTTTATAGTTCAAGGGAATCGGTCTAACCGCCTTCATTGTCCTTCTCCACCAACAGACAGCATATCTTCAGGCGGTAAATTCAGCATGACAGTGAGCTTTGCAAATTCTCCCTTGATAAAATAGTCAATTCTGCTCCCTGATTACTTCCACTACTACGACAGATTTTTCTCATAGAATTTCTCATAATTATATTCCCTTCTATTGACATTATTAATCATCTCGTTTTGATCTGATATTTGAATTTTCAGTCGTGTCATCCTGCTCTCTACTGATTCATAAATTAAATCTATACCACCAAATTATGGCGAAGTAAAAGTATCATAGCCAAAGTCAAGGTCTTTCAAAAGATGCTCTTCAAGAACCGATGAAATACAGGGTATGATATGAAATGTCATTCCAAATCAAGCCATGCCTGCCTTTTGGACTTGAGAAGGATACATACAGGATTCCAGATATTCTCTGAGTATTTTTTCTGCATATCTATGCTGTTAAGTTGTGTAATGGAATTTGGGATAAAGGTTTAGGGTGTAAGGTTAAGATTACAATCAGGGTTGAATTTAGGATCAGAAGTTGTGATTCTGGTTAGAGTTAGGAGTCGAATGAAGAATAGTGTCAGAAATATCAATGAATCTCAAAGTACCAATGAACTATAGTCACCTATCCAGATGAATGGGTATATCGCACATGGTACGATTTCTCTATAGATCAGTTATTCGATTAGAGTTATTGTTAGGGTTAGAAGACCTAATTATTTACATGCATAGAATGTGGTTAAATTACTCTGTTGAAATAAGAATAGAACTTGTGCAGTGTGGTAGAATATAATAAAGTGTTACACCATTATACAGTAATGTTTACTGATGATGTTTCGAGAAAAATCTATTGCTCAGGAAATATTACTGTATGAGAGACTGTATGACACTCAATCAAAATGCATATTACCAACAATTGAATTATACTCTGTTGATGATGGAACCCAAGCTAACTAACTAGCTACCTAGATAAGGCCAGTCACCAGTGAGCATCTCATTGATATTCAAGTATTGGTTTGTAGGGCTTTGGTCCATTGGTTACAGAATTTCATCATGAGCTGACATCGGTTAGAGGACCACTGACCAACCTGGGAGTACTAAACAGCTGTTTCGTCCTAGTTTGGGACTCTTCATCGGTACGCACCTAACGGGGTTCAAACACAGCACCTTGCGGTTACAGGTTGTTTACTTTTCAATGCTCCACAGGATCCTTTAGCCAACCAAGCTTGTTTCTAATTGATTTTCTGGGTCTGAATGCCACTTTTATTCCTGCCAGTATTGTTAAGAATTCTGTGTAAGGTTTCCGAGGTTCCTTCCTTATATGGAATGAATACTGATGATTTAGATTCCTTATTGTTGTTGTGTTGTCATTATCCTGCGCTTGTTTGACAGGTATGTCGTCATTAATATTACTATCATTATTTCAGTTATTATTTCCATTATTACCACTATCACTATCACTACTATGATTATTTATTTCATTTTTACATTTCCCTACATACTTTCTGACTAATGTATTACGGTAATTATTAAGTTTCAAAGCTTCTGTTATACGC